GGTTGTATCCCTTATTTTAGTAAAACAACATTGCTTCTGCTTACACCTGTTAAACTTATCATGGGCCCTAAAAGCTGATTCCAAGACACTTGCCGACTTTATGTAGAATGCTAAAACAACAATTATTCTACAGCCTTCCAAGCTGCAAAGTTTCCTGTTATTAATTTTCTTTCACTACAGAACTGGTGAAGGGAGAGCGCAAAATTTAGATTCGTGGCTGGATTTAGCTTGGGAGCTTAAAAAGCCAAAATTTTAAATTCGAAAGCTAGTTTGCTCCGTCTCTAGCAGATTGGCACTCGCGATACTACAGTTAAGATGAATTTACATTGCAGACAGGTCAAGAAGAGCTGCAGCATCAGGCGTATTTTTCGACAGTGCGAGAACTTTTAGACGGTCGACAAGCCTACACAGCGGAGCATCGAAATGTGTAGGGCACGCACGAATCCAGAAACCAACTGCTTGGCAAATCCGCAACCTAGTATTATTGTCATCAGCTGCATCCTGCAAAAAATCTCATTTGCGGATTGCCTGCTTCAACGACTATTGTTTTTTTAACAGCTGCCATCAAGTTTAATAACCTTTACACTGAAAATTCATTTTGAAAACAAGAGAAGTGCTGTTCCTCATATGCACATTCTTCAATACGACGTTATTTCCATTTGGTTAATTTATTAAAATTTTCACTCGAGAAGCAGAAAAACGCATTTTCTCATAATTTGTGCATAAATAAATTTGTTGGCTTTGAATACGGGCGTTTAACATTCTTATATATTTTTATGTTTTTGGAATAGTTATTTTTAAATTTGAGACTTTACTTTAGGTTCCTATTTCACTCAATCGGCAAGCAATATTGTCTTTTGAGTACTTACAGCAGTGAAAGAATTGTTGAATTGAAGCTTAGATCTCTCCTTCAAACACTGGGTATTAGTTTTTCGCGTAATCGCAACAACTTCATGATGCTTTTCCGACAAACTGTATGATTGTTTATATGCCCACAAAGACATTTATTTCACTGTTGTTTTTGTTCCAGCCAGCATTAACCCTCACTGTTTTCACTAGATTACACTTATCAACAGGCACCCATTGCCTTTAACATAATTATGCATTTCTCTGGACTAGGCACGGTTCTTTCTCCACGATACTTTGAGGACATCGAGGATGCTTTTTGGGCGGTGCGGCGCGTATTTTCTTACTGGTCAAGACTACCATGCCAGCTTGCGATTTACTTCTCACTGTTATATTTTGCTGGTTTTTCTGTGACCAGTCACATTTGCGCCAAATGTACTTTTGATGAGAAGATTGAACATCTTACTTGAAAAAATGATATGAAATGCGCCATTAGCTCACAACTATCGACAATCCATTCATGTACATGAAATAATGCCGATGGAAATGAATCCCATTTTACATCTTTCTCTCCATCTGGAATGAGACTGACAGTACTGCTTCTGTTAACAAAAAAAAAACGAGAGTTTGAAATCCGCTAGTGCAGGCTTAAACACTGGAATAAGATATTACCCCTTCAGGGGGTTTAATTTTGTATGAGACTACGTCATCAATAAGATGGCATTTTCAGATCCAAGATTAAATTATATATGACATGCGTTCGGGAAGCGCTTGCGTCAAAAAAATTTTCGTCCTAAGGCATAGTGTGTTCAAGCACGTTGGGACCAAATCCTTAATCTCCATCCTTCGCTGCCGGAGTACAATGTTGGGTGACTTCACTGGAGCTTTCTGGCTAATTCATAGTCACAAATAGACTTCGTGGGAGGTAAAATGCCTGGCGCCGAAATATTCTGACAGAAATGTGTCGGCTCGAGCGCTACAATACAGAGATGAAGCATAGAAATGCAAATTTATTCTGGCTACCAATGTGGCTAGTAATATCAATGCATAATTTTTCCAGCCAAAAAATTATTTTTCAGAGATTGCGGATTAAAGTTTATTGAGTGCAGGCATAGCCTATCCGCTCGCAGTTATTTTCAAATAGCACACAAACTCATGCTTTTAATTTAATATCATCTTAGCGCTTTTTCGTTGCCTGCAGGTGTAATCCAGAAATGGAAAAAATGTGGGTTTTGAAAGTGTCTTAACGAATCACTATAACAAAAGTGGCTCCTGCAACAGAACCCTAATTAATTAAGAGAATTTGAATTGTTTTTTTT